GAAAAATATGTATTTTACTAATTATAATTAGTAAAAAATTTAAGCGTTGCATTATTTTTGATTGCCACTGTATATAATATATTATTCATTTTATTATTAATCTTATAAAAATTATTAATATATAAATAATAAAGTAACTTCATATTATTATTTCTTTATCATTAAATTTGATAATAGATTTTTTTTAATATATAAAATTTTTAATAATTCTTTCTTTTTTTTTTAATAATACTCACATCTATCTGATTTAAAAATATTAAACTTTGACTTATCTGATCAGATTGCTCTTGTTTAGTTTTTTTGATCTAATTTTATACTTTTCTATGAAATTAAGTTTGTATTTTTAATATATTTTTTTAGATATAATTTTTTATATTTTATTTTTGATATTAATTCAAATATATAACAAATAATAAGTGAAGAAATGTTTATATTTTCAGTTTTATAGAAGTAATTTTAAATTTTAATAGCTATTAAGCATTTACAAAAGAGAATAAGATTAATAATTTTTCATTCAAGTTTTTTATTTATTATATGTGGATGACAGATCTGTTAGCATCAATAAGAATGCATTTTTCTTATCATCTTTGCTTAAAATGGATAATAATGAAAGTGCTAATCTTTCATCATTATGCTATCTCTCTAGCACTATAGTCTTTCTCAAGAACAATAAGAATTTCTGCCCTTTCTTCTAATAATACAAAAAATATCAAAAATAATGCAACACATATTTACCAAACTTATCTATATATTTCGTAAAAAATTGAAAATAACTAAAAGTTAAAAATTTTACCCGTGTGTTGCATTATTTATGATTGCAAGTTCTTATTAAATACAATTACAAAGAACTTGTTTTATGACAGCAATATAAGTACTGTCACAGAAAAACAAAATATATCACTTCTTAATGATTTGACTTACTATAGTTATATGTTATCTCTTAACTAGTGTTAGAAATTCGTGCTCTCAGCATTCTTATAAGAATATAATAAGTTCTTTGATGAGAACAATTAAGAAAACAAAAATTAAATATGAAAATAGCAGAAGTATACACCTATCACAACAGAAGTGGATATTCCTGACGAAATTTTGTGTGATTTTTTCGCAGAACCAGAACAGCTGAATAAGTTTGAACGATTTGATCCTGGTAAATGAGATTTCATATAATAACTTAGAATCCATATTCGACCAAATCATTCATATTTTTCTTTGCAACTAAACAAAAAATAGAACCGACAATCTACAATTCATACATCATCGGTTACGACAATGCGCCATTAAATACATTGTCAAATCGTTGAATAGAAGCCTATATGAAAGGATTTGAGGTCGACCCAAGACACCCACGCGGACGTTGCTATACCTTATGATGGGATATCGTGAAAATTTATTTGTTTCTTTAGAGAAAAACGAGGATGAATCTATTGATTAACAATCTATTTCTTGAAATGGAATACTTTGTAATATATACAAATTGTTATTTTTTAAAGGTATTACTGGACTTTACCATTCATATTGTGTTATTTGTGGCAAAACATTTCACGAATCAATCGAATGCCAAGAAACCACATTACAAGACTTTGAACTTAACGCAGTCGACGATACAAAGGAATTGGTAGACGCATTGAATCAACATACAACACGAAAATTCGACGTAATTGCTTTTTGCAACGAAAAAAATTACAGATAACATAAACGATGCGAGATCATGTCTGAACGCGAAACATAATGGCGTCTAGTTTCGGAAAACAAATGAACATTAACCAACTAAAAATTACAGATAAAACTTGGTGAAGCATTAGCAACGAACACAAAAATATTAAGATCAAACATTTCCTATAATGAAATCACCCCAAAAGTAGTCAGCGCGATGATAAAGACGTTAAAAACGAAACGAACATTAAAAAATTTAATGATGAAACTCCAGGGTAGGAATAAATCCAAAATAGAAATTAATCATTTAGTCAATTTACGACGTGTTTCGGAGGATAACACTTGCCTAGAATCCTTCTCATTTGATCCAAGCGAATATGAACCAAGTTTTGTGTATCAAACAAAAAGTTTCGCATTATATAAAATATGATCGTCAAAGAACTATTCTAAATTTGATGTCTCGTAATATTGCCCATCGGACAAAATAAAGTAATTGCAGCGGTGCAACTATTACGATTATTTAGGGCTTTATTGTTTAATAATCCAACAAAAGAAGCAAAAGAAATTCACGTGGCCATTTGAGATTTGGTCGATAATTATCGAAATAAATTGCGAAAAGGAAAATGTGTTGGACGGTTATTAATTAGTCTTTGCAAAAACGAAAAATACGTTACTGAAACGATTTCGAAAAGAAATTTTTAGATTATTATTGTGGTTTAGTATCATTGGAATCTTTATTATTCCCTCAAATTTGGGAAAATGAGCGTATTTACTTACAATGTCATGTAATTCATTATTTTTTATTTATTTAAGCTATAATGAGTATGGCTAACTGTAAATAAAACGTTTACTAGCATAGTAAAAACAATCATATTCCTCTTCTAAAAAAATTATTCATCAATATCGAAATGATGATAGTTTCCTGTCAAATCTATAATCACGTGCGAATCTTTGCGTTTTTGAATTTCCTCCTTTTTAATGCTGTATTTGACTAATGACGACGACGACGATTCACTATTTGAATTCTTGACAAATACAGCGTCGTCCTCTAATCTTACATCACTCACAGCATCGTCTTTCTTTATTGATGGTAATGGTCGAAAATCTTTAAAATCGACATTTTCAATAAAAATATTAGGGTAAATTCCAGGCTTAATGAATATTCAGAACAGCAATGGGACTATTATCAGCAGGTTTCATTGTACACTTTTTAATATATGGAGGTGGTGATTCTGATCTTTCTTCAAATTCGATAGAAAATTCGATTCCTTTATTTCTTTGGACTCGGTTATGGAGACTTTTTCCAAAGTGAACTTGAAAGGGGCAGCATTCTTGATTTTGGTACGTCTAGCGAGATAGAAGAACAATGTGATCGCACCAATCCCACCTTTCCTCGGAAGATTATTTGTATCAATTTCGTCATTGGTCCACAGAGTTTTCGAGAATTTGAAGTAAGCTTTTTTGTCGCGAGTTGCATTCCAAAATCCATCGCTTTCTGTTTGAACTGGAGCAACTAAACAATAATAGAGGAAATCGTGATTTCTGTCCACAAAGATCTCGGGGTTTGTAAGCGTTGCGATGGTTGCGCCGAATCTCAACGAATAACGAGTTCCTATTTCAGGCACAGCAACAAAAATATTATCAGGGCTATTGTTTATTATTAATTTATTAGTAGTATATTTCTTTTTGTAACATTATTAAAATTAGATAATAATAATTTCACCTTTCGAACTTCTTCGATAGATGCACATATGAGGAACCTGTAGAAGACTAATAAATCAAATACACTTATTTAGGATTTCAAGAAGATAGAATATTAAGAAATAACATAGCAAATAAGTTTGTTTTTCTTTGAAAAGACAAATTTTGTAATTATAAACTGGCTCGCGACATTCTTGGAGCGTTGAAGAGTTTACTAGAACCTCAAGACTAAAACCATTTTTAGGCGTATGCAAATTCAGATGTAAAGAATAATAATAATAACAATATAAGCAAATTTGAATCTTTGAAGAAGTCTTTATTTAATTAACATTTTAAAGTTGATTTATTATTTGATGCTTCAGAATTTGATGTTTTACAGTATCTGTATCAACTTATCCAATGTTATCAAAGCGTTCGAAAAATCAATCCATTTCAGACTTTCAACTTGAACATTCGGTATTTTGCATGTTAATAAATGTACAGTTGAATCGAATAAAATAAAGTTTTTTCAAGTAATTTTAAGCTTTCTTAGGATTAATTATACAAATGCACAAGAACAAAACGAATAATAATGTATGAACTTTATTCTATTTTTGATAGCGCTTGAGTTGGGACATAAAAAGAATTATTGTTAAACAGCAGCAAATTTATACTCAATTGATCAATCGAACATTATAATAAAGATTTCCGGTACAAGTTTTATTTCAAGAATTTATCTTGGTATAATAAAAATTGTTTTACTATAATAAACTCGATTTCTTATCAAAGAATTAGGAAAAATAAGAAATTTTCAAATGAGTTTAATAGATATGTTATAACGACAAAAGAAATTTTCTAGTTGCTTGAAAAAAATACTATTTCTTATTTAGCAATCAAAATTAAACATAATGCACCGTCATCCTCGTTATAATGAAAGAAGGCTTTTTGAAATCTTCATTATGTATATCAAGATTTTTTTTATACGCTTGGAATCTGTCAAAATTTGTCTACAAACTCCTATTAGTTAGACTTAGAGAAGTGACGGGACGTGGATTTCTATCAAAAATGCAATACGAATATTAAATCAATACAAAATGCCTTCACCTTAAATTTCATTTCCATCTAAAAGAAGAGGATTTTGTCTTTTGAGATCTTTGCTTTTTGCGTATAAAGCTTTTTCGGTTTTAACACAAGTCTGGAGAGAAAGATTGCATTTATAGGAGGTAGAATAATTTAAGCGTAGTGCATTTGTTTAGAGAGAGTTACTACAATGATAATAGATATTATTGCTATTTAGAAAAGAAAAACTCGTGAAAATAATTAAGTTTGAATTCTTATAGAGAACACTTTCGAAAATTTGGTTTGCTTTAAAGAGTTAGGCAAAAAGAGCACATGTATGCTAGTTTCCAGTACAAATACTATATGCGAATCTGATTTTTAATTGTTTAAACCAAAGCCAGTTTTCTCATTTAATTAAGTGACTACAAACCCGTACATACATGTAATGAAATTCCATTATCATCTTCAGAAAACTCGTGCAGTTATTCATCTTGCTTAGGAAGCATTTTTCATTAGAACAATGATAAAAAGTTTGTAATTTTTGTTCATAAAATGGCATTTAACAATCTATAAACCGATTTTTTGTAATACTTATATAAGTATCTCTCTATACTGATTCCCTTTATACCGATTTATTCCATTGTTATTCCGTTTTGTCTCAAAATTCCATTTTATACCGATATCATGATATATGAATTATTCCGTGTTCCTGATCAATATGCCGCCGGATCATTATTCATATCTATGAATTTTTTTGACACGGTGGCTTATATATCAAAAGAGAATCTTTCAAAGTTGAAATATCCAGATGAGTCTACTAATTTGTACCTATTTCTTCTACTTTTGTTATTTTGTTATGAGACATATAAAACTTTGGTTATTCAAACTAATGAGATCGAGATCCAAAACATCAACAATTCAGATACTTACTGGATTAGACAACCACATACAACAGTTAGTAATGTAATTTTCACTCAGCTTTGAGAAACGAGATTCTGAAGAAGATATACATAGGGATGTTAGAAAGCTTCATTGAGTCGGTCTTTTGAGGTGCTATCTTATAACCGGGGTTGGCCTGGACAATTTTGGACAGTTTGGACAAAAATTTATAATTATGTAGATATTTGGCCAACATTTATGGGCTGGTCCAGGGGCCAACCTTGCTTATAACGTAATTATTTCTTGAGAAATAAAGGATTATTTAAAGAATATGATTTGTCTCAAAACAAAGTCAATTAAAATTGGTGTTTTTACTTAGCTAACAATGTTAAAGAATATTTATTAATTACAAAAAAATACCGATTTTTAATTATTATAAATTAATATACAATTCTCTACTATAGAATAAAATGTTATTATAAAAATATCGAATACATATTTTTATGTAATAAAACTGCATATCACATGACGAATGAGTTTGTGCTCACGACGAGGACTTGCCAGTGCAAGCTGGGATTGCTAGTCTACGGGGACAAGCTCTTGGTTCCTCTCCTGATGAGATTTATCTCATCCAATCGGAAATCAGTGTGACAGATTAAAATGAAATATTTCAAATATGTAATATAAAAGAATTATGCCAGTAAATTTATATAATATTCAACTATATAAAATACTATTACAAAATTAATCTGTATTTTATAAAAAATCACTATTTATTCATAAGAAATTACGATAATTTCGGCCAAATGATCTACATAATCCGCATAAATGTGGTCAAAATTTAACCTGCAGCATTATTTACTTCTCAAGCCACATGAGACCACATGCCTAAAATACACGTCCAACAATTGTCATTAATGAATAAATTAATAAATTCCCTTTCCAACGATCCACCCGATTATGTCTATAATTAAAAAGTTAAAACTTCAAGGTATCCGCTCATTTGACCCCGATTCTCCTCAACAAATTGAGTTTCAAGTACCACTTACCATTCTTGTTGGTCATAATGGTGCCGGAAAGACAGTAAGGCTGCTGTAAATTCTAATGCGAGTGTACGTTACGTTACTAACGCGTCAATTCCTTTTATTTCTAGACTATAATCGAGGCATTGAAGTACGTTACGACTGGAGTGATGCCGCCAAATACTAGAAGCGGTGGTGGATTCGTTTTTGATCCAAAAGTCAGTCTACAAATTGTCCTTTTAGTTGCTCTCATTATGTTCTTATTTCACTAGTGCTTTTATCTAGTTAAAAAACGAAACGAGTGTAAAGGCTCAAGTTCAATTCAGCTTTACAGCTGCTGGCGGAGACGAGGTTATTGCTTCACGGTCTTTACAGGGAAAACTGGCGAGTCAAAAATTTTCAGTTACCTCCATTGATAGTATATTGCAAACAACCAGTGCTCAGACCGGAGAAGTAAATGTTTTGAATAGTCGTCTTTCGGAAATGGGAAAAATGGTCGATTTTATATAGCTTGATTCTGTATGTATCTTATAGACTTCAAGTCTTACGAATAAGTGTGCAGACATGGATGCTGAACTTCCTATTCAATTGGGTGTTTCAAAATCGATTCTTGATAACGTGATCTTTTGCCATCAAGAAGAATCTTTTTGGTAATTCAATATATCTTTTATGTCAATTGACGATTGATTATTAATATTAATATGTATAAAGGCCTTTTTCCGAACCATCCGTTGTTAAAAAAACATTTGACGATATATTTGCGGTAACACGGTTGGCATTTCTCGGAAATGATGACGATATTATTATTTCTTTATTTTTTTCATTTGTTTTAATCCTGAGTTATAATTTGCAGATATACCAAAGCTCTTAAGAATATAAAAGATTTAAGAAAGAGCAGAGCGGCAGAATTAAATGTTGAAAACGAAAGGCTTATTCGTTGTTCAGAAAATAAGATTAGAGCAGAAGAAGTAATTATCTTATTATCTTATAATTTCCATCCTTGTGTTTTATTTAATTTGTAACCTCTTATGTTAATAATTACAGATTGAGATTCAAATCGAGGCAGCGCGACGAAAAGCAGATGACCACAAAAAAAAAATCGAAGATTTTGATAAGGCGGTTGCTAGCATGACCAGTCAAATTGATGGATTAATGGAAACGATCAGAAAAATTACCGATCTTGAATCGCGTCTCAACGAGAAAAAAAGTCAAAAATCTTTTCTAGAGACCAGTATCAACGATCTGTCTGCCAGTTTCACCGAACTTCACGGTTTTGCCTTCTATTAATCATATATCTATATTATCGATTATCAATCAATTTCATATATTCATACTCACTTAAATTTTCGTCGATAGAATCTGACGCAGAGTTACAAAGGTTGCATGAGGAATATATGAATAAAGTAGATGTGAATGATTCCAATAAACGAGAAACATCAATGTTAAAAGACCATGCATCAAATGAATTGGCACGTCTAAGAACAGCCTTAAACAACGTTCTTACGAGACAAGGAAATCTTCAAGCTCAATATGATGTAAGCTTATAATACACTCATTCGCAAATGTTATTAAACAGTTAATGTAGTAAACTTTTATTTTGAATTGATGAATCATTCCTATTGATAGGCCTATCGTAAAAGAATTCAAGAACGAGAAAGTTTGATTAGAAATATATGTCAGAAACATAATATTGAAAAATTCTCCGATGCAACCATATTGTCAAATAAAGATATTGAAACTTTTACGGGCATACTTACAAATCTAACCAACCAGCAAAATAATCTCTTGACATCTATAAAGGTATGGTCTCGTTGCTATTTCCGACCGAGAACATCGAACTTAAGATATGAATATTTATTAAATTTATCTTTTTAATAGACGGAAGCTCACAATCTCGAAAACGAGTTGAATTCGAAGTTGACAATTCTTACATCTGATCTTAACGCCCAAGAACAAATAAAACAGTTTGCAAAAGACAGGATTGTATGTTACTAATAGATATATAATGTGAAACATAATTTGTTACTTTTTTTTTCTAACCACATTAATAAATATAATAGGAATCATGTCAACGAAAAATGCAAAAAGTGGAACTTGATGTGAAACAAACTAAAGCATCTCAATCTGATGTCATGACCCTCGAACGACAAATTAAAGAATTGGTAGAGAATTAAGTTGATTGCTTTTATATTTTTATTATTTTCATTTATCTAAAGCTTTGAACTAAAAAAAATTAGGAAGAATCCCTTGAAAAAACAAAGATTGCTTACTCGAATGATGATTCAGACTCCAAGTTAAATAAACTGGCTAGCGATCTAAGACAAGCTCAACTTGAAGCGTCTGACTTGGACGCTGAAATTAGTAATCTTACTCTTGAAGGGTCGACTCGGACGAAGCTAGAGCTAAAGAAAAATGAAAAATCACAAAAAGAACCAGCACTTCAATCAAAGTATATGTTTTTTTTAAATACTTCCCTTATTTTGTCTATCCCTAAATAATATATCTTCATCATCTAAAGAATACAAACATATAAAGCCGACTTCGAAAAATATATGGACCGAGATTTCCGATTGGACTCTATTGAGACCGATATGGAAGTCGTATTGCGGTACGAGTCACATAATAAATTTTAATATTCCTTGATATACTTTAGCATGCTTACCTCTAATTATTTTATAGTGATAAGCAAGCGGAAGCTCAAAAGGCATATCAGCACTATCAGAATATCAATAGCAATTTATCTTCCATTGAAGTCCAATTAAAAAATTTGGAGAGCAAACTTAATCAGAAACGTAGACTCTATGAAAGTAATAATAATAATATTATTATTATTCACCTCTATTTATAAGTTTACGCGTTTATTGACTCGACAATTTATGTTATAATATAGCCCAAATTAAAGAAATTAACAAAGTATGCAATGGAGCAAATTTGCCAGAACTATTAGAAGAACATGAAAGCGAACTGGAAGAGTTACGCGAGTAAGTGTTATTTTTCACGTTGTATAAGATTCTCAATAACCTCTGATAATGAATTTTTATTTATAGGTCATTGGCTGAGACAAAAAGTGCTTCGTCTATATTTAAAAACTTTTTAGCGCAAGCAAAAAAAAATCATCTTTGTCCTGTGTGTAAACGAGGATACGATGCCGAAGATGAATACAATCAATATCTAGGAAGGGTAATAAATAAATATGTTTAGATCAAGGTTTAACGGGTTTTTTTATTTATTCAGATCATTTTTGTTATTAGTTGGAAAATCTTTCATCGGATAAAGCTCCGGCCAAAATTGCTGAATTTGAAAAAGAAATTAAGGATCTTGAATCTAAAATTCAAAATATGCGCAAATTAAAATCAAATTGGGATGATTTGAATCGCTTAAATGCAGTCGATATACCAGAGTTGGAAAACGAAATCCAGGAATTACAGAATAACAAAAACATAGAAGCATCAAAGAGTGAAAATGTAAGAACGAATAATTAGTTTGCTTAATATAATACTTTCATAATGATTAAAACAGAATTCTTTAATTATGTAGGCTTCACTTAAAGCTTCCGCTCTTGAAAATGAAAAACAACAGATCCAAGAGTTATATACAGTTGCTGGTGAAATGACTCGCTTAGATAAAGAAATCAAAGCATTGAATAATGACATCCAGAATCTGGAACAACAGCTTAGTTATACCGGTTCTACTAAGACGCTTGAGGAATTGACTAGCGAGCGTGATGATTTACGAGATAAAATGTAAGTTATTTTATTAGCCTTTTATATTGGATCTTTATTTAATCTGAATTCCATTTTTATAAAATAGAAATAGGATTAATCGTGAAATTCAGCAAAAAAGTACGCGCAAAGATGTAAAACTGCGGGAAATTCGTAATCACGAAGACCGATTGCATCAATCGCGTCGTGAATTGCTAGAAGTACAACATCAATTGCAGCAGCGAGAAACTTTAGAGAAATCTAAAGAAGAATTTTTGGCAGAGATTAGACAACAAGAACGTTTAATTGCGGTAATTTAACAGAAAATTTTTGTGCTTTTGTATTTCTGTTGTCATTCCTATTGAATAAATTCCTTATTTAACAGGAAGCTGATGCCCAAATCAGTAATATTCGCCCTTCAATTACTCTTGCCAAAAACAAGTTGGAAGAAAAACGCCAGCTCAATTTTGAGCGTGAAAGTTCTGTATTGAGAGATCTTCAAGAACTGAAGAATTCACTTAATCAATTCAATGAGCTTAATCAAGAGATCGAGGAGTAAGTCAAAATAATGAAAAGATTTTATTTCTGCATTTGAAAAGCTATTGACACATTACCTTTCTTAAAAGCTTCACAAAACAAGGAAACGCTGATTTATTAAGTCGATCTAACGAGGAGGTTAAACGTTTAGAATCAGAAATATCCGCAAAAGCAAGGGATGTAGAAAAACTGCAACAACAACTGCAACGCTTTGATAACTTAGCTTTAGAAGTTGAAAGCACTAAAAGGAATATAAATGATAATATTCGTTATCGACAAATACAAGAGAGTATCAAAGAAGTTGTTCAAGAAATTCAACAATTGGAAGAAGAAATCGGTCAACAAGCTGGCGTTCGTTATAGTCAAGAATTATCTGAACTGCAAAAGAAACATAAGAACTTTACGATGCAGGTTTATATTTAATTGAATTACTATCGTCTATTTTTACGAAATATTCGCGCTAAACACTCCTCTATTCAGAGAGCAACTCTAGTTGGAGAATCGAGTCAAATCAAAGAACAAATTCAGAGGCAAGAAAAGGATCTCGAGAAAAATTATAAACATGCCAAAGCTGATTATCAAAGACAATTTATAAACGTGACGGTAAGAACGTTCTGAAGAAATCTTTAGTTATACCTTTAATTATCTATACCTATCCTTCTTATTCAATATAGGTTGAAAAAATGGGCATTAATGATCTTGACACCTATGCTAAAACGCTTGACAAGTAAGTCTAAATACAATTGAATATTACACAAATATATGTGATAATACATCTTCTCTTTATAGCGCGATTATGAAATTCCACGCAAAGAAAATGATCGAAATTAACAAAAATATAGAAGAACTTTGGCGAAACACATATCAAGGAAATGGTATGGGAATTTAAATTTCCTTTTTTTTTATAACACCAACATCTAATACACTTCATAATCTTCACAAAGATATTGATCGCATTGAGATTCGTTCCGAAGACGATGGCACTAAACGTAAAGGATCATATAGTTATCGGGTTAGTAAATTCATGAAATATTTTGATAAAGGAAGGATATTGTAACGATAGTAACAAATCGAAATAATTTCCAGGTTGTAATGATTAAGGGTTCTGTTGTACTTGATATGAAAGGCAGATGTAGTGCGGGACAAAAAGTTTTGGCTTCAATAATCATCCGTTTGGCATTAGCGGAAGCTTTTTGTATAAATTGTGGTGTTATTGCTCTTGATGAACCCACGACTAATCTTGATTTGGATAACATTCGAAGTCTTGCGGCGAGTCTGGCTGGGTAAGTTTTATATTATATTAATGAAAAAGGATTGACGATTTTTCTAAGTGCGTTATTATTTCTTCTCAGAATAATAAGGGAACGTCGAGCTCAAAAGAATTTCCAACTTATCGTCATTACGCATGACGAAGAGTTTGTACGACTCATTGGTCAAAATGAATTCTGCGATAGATTTTATCGAGTGGCCAAAAACTCACAGTAAGACGTTTTTATAATTTATACGTTATCTTTCCATTGAAAAATTTGTAAATAATTTTATCCTTTTTCGTGTTCAGCCAATATAGTGAAATCACCCCATTGCCCATAGTAGAATTATAATATGTAATCGGAGAAGCATTATCAAGTTGTAATTTTATTTCTTTTACATGAAAAACGCAACTATTCCAGAATAATTTGATTAAAAAACAATAAATTTTACTAATACACAATATAGCACAAATATTTATTGTCTGTTAATTTTCAGGGCTAGCTTGTTAGCCTCCTCTAAAGTCACACCGCTTGAAAAGATCAACTTAGATTACAAATATACATGTATGTAACTTTAGCTATCACTATGCTTTTGTCCTTGTTAATCATCTACTCAAGATTCTCAATTATACCTAAATAATTAATTTTCAGGGCACACAATACAATTTACATTCAATTAATATGCCAAAGATTGATTCTGTTGATTAAACTTCTTAAGATTAAATCATTCTTGTTTCAAAAAACCAGTCATAGATAGAAAAATCTCAATTTTATACTAATAATTATAATAGCAATAGTACCTAATATTATAAAGATATTCTTTGAAAATATTATAATTTATCTGTAGTTATATTATCAAATAGAGATATTAAATTTACAAGTTGCTTTTGAAAATCTTTTTTTGAATAACTTGAAACTAAATTAGCAATATCAATAATATTTTACTCTCAGTTAAATAATCAAATAGAGAGACTTAACAGAATATTAGAAGAAATATTAAGAATATATATCATCTATTAACAAAATAAATGAGATAAAAATTTAGTTACTATAAAATTCACTTACAATAATAGCAAGAATATTTTAACTGGTTATATATTTTTTGAATTAGATTATAAATAGATATCTTATATATCTATTAATATTTTTTATCATAAAATAATATTGTAGTCTCTTAAGATTTTATGAAGTATTAAAATATCATAATCAAGATCACTAAAGATTTGTTATTAGAAGTATAAGAAAGATAGTTAAAATATATAAATTAATATAGAAGATATGAAGAATTCAATATTAGAGATAAATTTCTTCTCTTCATCTGTAATATAAAAATTCCAGTTGATAAATAAAGAATAATCAAGAAACTTATATCAAAATTTATTGAACTCTTTGAAATTATCACAAAAATATTTTTTGTTATTTACAAACTGTAACTACCAGTAAATATGAAATTATATTTAGTATTTCATATATTATTATTAAAAAAATATAATTTAGATGATGAATTTAATAGATATTAATTATTATCAATAATTATTATCTCTGATAATGAAAAAAAATATAAAATAAAAAATATTCTTGATAAGAGAATTTATTATTATAAATTTTAATATCTTGTTAAATAACTTGATTATTTTCTTTATAATATAATATAAAAATCTGAAAAATATCATGAAGAAGATTAATATTTTTGAGAAATCATATACTTAAATATAATAAAAATATTATACTTTAAATAAAAGAGTATATAATAATTTTAATTAAATTATCTCTCTTGTTTATATTTTTATTTTATACTATTTATATAACAGATTAGTTTCTATATTATATTTTATAAAGATTAATTTTATTCTGAATATACAGATAATCATTTATGTATTTAATATATTAAATTTAACATATTATTATATAAATAATTATCATGTATATCTATATTATTAATTTAAATAATTAATATTTTTAATTAGATTT